AAAAAACATTTCCACTGCATTCCAGCCCTGCCACAAAAGGACCAGCTGACATCATGTCAGTGATTCTCTCGTTAACACAGGTGAGAGTGTTGATGAGGACAAGGCTGGAGATCACTCTGTCATGCTGATTGAGTTAGAATAACAGACTGGAAGCTATAAAAGGAGGGTGCTTGAAATCATTGTTAACCATGGTTACCTGCAAGGAAACACGTGCCGTCATCATTGCTTTGCACAAAAAGGGCTTCACAGGCAAGGATATTGCTGCTAGTAAGATTGCACCTAAATCAACCATTTATTGGATCATCAAGAACTTCAAGGAGAGAGGTTCAATTGTTGTGAAGAAGGCTTCAGGGCGCCCAAGAAAGTCCAGCAAGCACCAGGACCGTCTCCTAAAGTTGATTCAGCTGCGGGATCGGGGCACCACCAGTGCAGAGCTTGCTCAGGAATGGCAGCAGGCAGGTGTGAGTGCATCTGCACGCACAGTGAGGCGAAGACTTTTGGAGGATGGCCTGGTGTCAAGAAGGGCAGCGAGGAAGCCACTTCTCTCCAGGAAAAACATCAGGGACAGACTGATATTCTGCAAAAGGTACAGGGATTGGACTGCTGAGGACTGGGGTAAAGTCACCATTCATGTGTGGGGCTGCTTCTCAGCCAAGGGAGTGGGCTCACTCACAATTTTGCCTAATAACACAGCCATGAATAAAGAATGGTACCAACACATCCTCCGAGAGCAACTTTTCCCAACCATCCAAGAACAGTTTGGTGACGAACAATGCCTTTTCCAGCATGATGGAGCACCTTGCCATAAGGCAAAAGTGATAACTAAGTGGCTCGGGGAACAAAACATCGACATTTTGGGTCCATGGCCAGGAAACTCCCCAGACCTTAATCCCATTGAGAACTTGTGGTCAATCCTCAAGAGGCGGGTGGACAAACTAAACCCCACAAATTCTGACAAACTCCAAGCATTGATTATGTAAGAATGGGCTGCCATCAGTCAGGATGTGGCCCAGAAGTTAATTGACAGCATGCCAGGGCGGATTGCAGAGGTCTTGAAAAAGAAGAGTCAACACTGCAAATATTGACTCTTTGCATAAACTTAATGTAATTGTCAATAAAAGCCTTTGACACTTATGGAATGCTTGTAATTATACTTCAGTATACCATAGTAACATCTGACAAAAATATCTAAAAACACTGAAGCAGCAAACTTTGTGAAGACCAATACTTGTGTCATTCTCAAAACTTTTGACCACGACTGTAGAGACATGGGGTTCAGACTATTGTTTTTCTGACTGAATTTTCTATTGAATGGACATATTTGTTTAAACTTTTAATGAATTAATCATTTTATGGGTGAACATCCTAGAGCAGGGTTCCCCAACTGGCAGCCCACAGGCCGAATTTGGCCCGCGGGTGGTCATATTTGGCCCCCCAAATTTTCTGAGCAAATGTGGAATTTTCATTGTTGGACAAAAAATACTTTAAAAACACCAGGAAATCAGCTCCAAGTGATTTTAATTTAAGAAATCTGTTCTACTTGGCCTACTTGGCCTATTTCCATGCAAAATAGAGAGACACATGATCATATACTAATGTAAACAAGGTTTGAATTGATAATGATTTAGTCAAACATATCTGTTTGGGCTTCTTGCAGTCAATTTGCCATCTACAAATTATTTGTAATTATGTTCCAGCCCCCCGACCATCCGCTCAGTATATGGCCAATATACCACGGCTAAGGGCTGTATCCAGGCACTCCACGTTGCATTGTGCATAAGAACAGCCTTTAGCCGTGGTATATTGGCCATATACCACACCCCCTCAGGCCTTATTGCTTAAATATAGAAGAAGCCTATAGCCTGCCGTGGTGCATTATCTGGTTATATTGGACGAGGCTATCCCTAACCCTAACTGAGGAGCCAGAATACAGCCTCTGCCGCCTCATAGAACGACTGTGTGTGTGTGTGTGTGTGTGTGTGTGTGTGTGTGTGTGTGTGTGTGTGTGTGTGTGTGTGTGTGTGTGTGTGTGTGTGTGTGTGTGTGTGTGTGTGTGTGTGTGTGTGTGTGTCTGTGTCTGTGTCTGTGTCTGTCACATTGTGGTCCTCTATTGCTCAGTCGGGAGAGGCTGGTGCTTGCAATACCAATGGTTGTGAAATGTGAGTGTTGATTTGATTTGTGTGTGGGCCTGCTTAAACTGACTTCGGAGTTCTGGTTCAGACTGAATAAGACTGAGGTGTGATTCTGATTGTGATGACCTCTACTTAATTCTGAAATGCCTCAGGAAAAATCAATACCTTTATTATTATATTCACTGAGTCTGCCTTCTTAAAACCTTTAGATCCAAACCACTGATGCATGTTCCTTCAACCAACATCAGGCTAATATTTTGGGAGTTTGTTCTTACTTCCTACAGACCAACAGACTAATGTTTTGGGAGTTTGTTCCTACTTCCAACAGACTAATGTTTTGGGAGTATGTTCCTACTTCCTACAGACCAACAGACTAATGTTTTGGGAGTTTGTTCCTACTTCCAACAGACTAATGTTTTGGGAGTATGTTCCTACTTCCTACAGACCATCAGGCTACTGTTTTCTGTGTTGTCTGAAGCCCTGTTTAGAGCCATCGTCATATTAGACATTAATAGCCATGACAACAGGAGTGTTGTTGACTCACAGTGTGTTTATGCGTTGTGTTTGACAGAGAATTCATACAGAATTCCTGGTACTCTTAACGATGTAGCGCATTCTGGTGTTGCTTAGGAGGTGTAAGTTTGTGACATTCTACTATTTGTATGTATTTGTATATATTATGGATCCCCATTAGTTCCTGCCAAGGCAGCAGCTACTCTTCCTGGGGTTTATTAAGGATCCCCATTAGTTCCTGCAAAGGCAGCAGCTACTCTTCCTGGGGTTTATTAAGGATCCCCATTAGTTCCTGCAAAGGCAGCAGCTACTCTTCCTGGGGTTTATTAAGGATCCCCATTAGTTCCTGCCAAGGCAGCAGCTAGTGTTCCTGGGGTTTATTATGGATCTCCGTTAGTTCCTGCCAAGGCAGCAGCTACTCTTCCTGGGGTTTATTATAGATCCCCATTAGTTCCTGCCAAGGCAGCAGCTACTTTTCCTGGGGTTTATTATGAATCCCCATTAGTTCCTGCCAAGGCAGCAGCTAGTGTTCCTGGGGTTTATTTTGGATCCCCATTAGTTCCTGCCAAGGCAGCAGCTACTTTTCCTGGGGTCCAGTAACATTAAGGCAGTTATACAATTTAAAATATTACATGACATTACATTCCTAACACTTTTCACAACACATTAAGTATGTTCCCTCAGGCCACTACTCTACCACCACATATCTACAATACAACATCCATGTGTACGTGTGTGTAGAGTGCGTGTGTTATGTGTATGTGACAGCCCCTGATAAAGATGTCTAGAATAGCATATGGTAAAGGCTCTGCCAACACACTGGCATCTGTTTATTTGTTCTTATTCGTTTTACCTTGACAGGGAGTCATGCTGAGACCAAGGTCTCTTTTACATATATACACTATATGGGCGGCAGGTAGCCTAGTGGTTAAGAGCGTTGGGCCAGTAACCGAAAACTCGCTGGTTCGAATCCCCGAGCCAGCAAATTGGAACAATCTGCCGTTCTGCCCTTGAGCAAGGCATTTATCCCCCGAACAACAACTGCTCCCCGAGCGCCGGTGCTGTGGACATCGATTAAGGCAGTTGAATGCATTCAGTTGTGCAACTGACAAGGTATCCCCCTTCCCTACACACATCAATTTACACCTTAATATGCACAGACACATCAATACACGAAAAGCAACACAATCATATAAAACAAACACATTCTTTAGTAAAAAGGTCCTCAATCAGTCGTCTGAATTGCCCTGGAGGCTCCATCTCTTCCAATTTTAGAGAGCTTTGGAGATTATTTCACAAATAAGGTGTAAAAAAAAAAAAAAAAAAGCAGATTTTTCCTAACTCAGTGGAGATCGAAGGAATCTCCAGAGTTAGCTATCCCTGAGACCGAGTCTGGTAGCTCGTACGTCTGCAGGTTAACAATGAAGTAAGGTACGGTGGAAGTGTACTGTATGCAGGAGGGCTTTATAAACAAAAAGAGTGCAATGCATCGATCTAGGAGACTTCAAGGAGGGCCAGCCTACTTTCTGATACAAAATGCAATGATGTTTAATGAACCTGTCACCCGTAATAAAGCGTTGTGCGCTATGATAAACTGCGTCCAATGGCTTCAATACAGTGGCAGTTGCATTCATATAAACAATATCACCATAGTCAATAACCAGAATGAATGTTGACTAAATTAAATGTTTTCTGTTATTTAACAAAAAGCATGTCCTATTCCTATAAAGGAAGCCCATTTCATTCTTACCTTCTTTACTAACTCATCAATATGCTTTCTGAAAGACAGCTTCTCGTCAATCCAGACACCCATATATTTGGGTACAGCCTGGGAAAGAGACAGAATGTGTTGTCGTGCCTACATATTAACACGCAGTTGGTTTTATGTCTGTACCTGTATGCGGATAGGAAGCTATTGAACATATGACCTAAATGCTATTGTAGTAGGTCTATTGAATAGGAGGTCTATTGAATATTCTTTTTTAAGGCTACATCACTTTCTTTATTTTTATTTTACAACATTTAAACAGATGCTTGGTGTCCTATTGCGTCTTCTTGGAATAGTGAAGTAGCCTACATGTATAATTTGCATGTTCTCAGTTAGTTGACAGTTCCCAGTCAGATTGTGGTGGGTCAGATAACCTAGCAGGGGGTGTATGTGCCCTTAAGTAGAGGGAGAGAAGAGGAGCAGGACGCCTAATCTTAATGGTTTTTATAAAGACATTGTCAGTGTAGAAAGGGATGACATGAACAGCTCACCCTGTCTGAGTGTCTCTCTCCCACTCACCCCTCGCTAGCTACTACAGTACATTAGTGAACGCATGTTTTGTCAAGCCAAAGGGGGTGGGAGGGGAAATGGGTCTGGAAGACATGCAACACTGTCACCCCGATGTTCTGCTTGGATTGAGAGGGGAAAATAGACAGAACTGTGTCAAATCATGCAAAGATGTGACAGGGACTACTTTATCTGCTGGGGTGGAGTGGTGGATGATTTCTGGGCTATGGGGAGATTGGGTAATGGGGCCGTAAAGGCCTATTTACTGCACAATGCAGTCAATGGACTAGATTCACCCAAAAATGATGATGCATTAATCAGGGAATGATAATGACTTCACTAAATGCTAGAGACATTTATTAGCATGGCACACTTTGGAGAGTACCATTACAAGCTCAAGGACCTCTCTCTCTCTCTCTCTCTCTCTCTCTCTCTCTCTCTCTCACTCTCTCTCATTCTCTCTCTCTCTCTCTCTCTCTCGTTCTCTCATGAAGTTTCTTTTAAAAGCTTTTTCTGTCCATATTTTATGCCACATTTTAAAGCCTTGGCCTATGACTCAGACAAAACACTTTAGTGGTTGGTGCCATTCACAAAACCAAGGACATGAATTGTGATTCACTACAGAGCCACAGACCATACATAGACCATAAACACCATAACCCATTTTATAGGTGGCTTTATTTTCCCCAGACTGTAGAGCCAAGTTTCCACTAATAAAAGGTTTATATCAACAGGCTTGGATTCCACTGTGCAGGAAAACTGTCCCTATGATTAGTGACCAGGTTGTATAGCCAAGCAATTATATTGTGATGTATGTAAATAGGAGATGTTAACAGTGTGAGAGATAATAAAGTGAACTCTGAGTCATCAGTCAGGTGTTTGCAGACCTGAGGCTTTGGAGCAGACAAGAACCATTATACTAATGACTGATACAGTCAAGCCCCAATTTAACATCCTCCTCCATCCCTAAGTACATTTTACATTTGAGTCATTTAGCAGACGCTGTTATTCAGAGCGACTTACAGGAGCAATTAGGATTACGTGCTTTGCACAAGCGCACATCGACAGATTTTTCACTTAGTCGGCTCTGGGATTTGAACCAGCAACCGTTCAGTTACTGTCCCAACACTCTAACCGCTAGGCTACCTGCAGATATAAATATCAGACATGTGACATTCATCTTTGAATTGAGATGTTGTACTTTAAGGAGGACCACTGACGACAATAACGGCAATCCATCAATCTTACATTTCCCAGCGTCCCTTTGTGTCCCAAATGGCACCCTATTCCCTACATAGTGCACTACGTTTGACCAGAGCCTCATTAGGCCCAGGTCAAAAGTCTTCCACTATGGGATTGATGGATTGGCGTTATTGTAATCAGTGGTCCTGTTTGTTCCAATGAGGGACTGGAAAGTTAATCTGCTTTGTTTTCCTCCGTTTAACGTCTACCGCTATAAACACCATGGAAGAAAACTAATGGAAAGCTTTCACCTGGAACTTTCTTTCAGGCACCTAGACACAAATTATGAATCTATAAATTATGTTTTTTTACTCTCTCTCTCTCTCTCTCTCTCTCTCTCTCTCTCTCTCTCACCCCTACCCCTGCAGACGGAGAGAAGGACCACCCTAAGACAGAGGCGGGGGTCATCTGGAGGGTGACCGGCGGTCTCTTCAACATGACCAGAGGGGCGGTCGGAGCGACATGGGGAGGCGTGGCCTGGGTAGGCTGTAAGAGCTATGACATCACCAAGACGGTGGTGACCAGCGTGCCGGCCGCCGGCGTGGGATTGGTCAAGGGTGGCGTTTCCGTGGTGACAGGAGGAGTGGGGGCGGTAGGGTCCGCTGTAGCCAGTAAAGTTACACCAAAGAAAAAGGACAAGTCTGATTAGGCCAAGACCCAACTACCACCCCATTGCTACAGTATAGTTTATAAATGTCTCCCTATCTGTCTGCTGTGTATAGGTTCCATTTGGTTGCTTGGGGTAACCATTCAGAGTTGAAAAAGGCACAAGTAACTTGGATTTCCGTGTAAATCATTCATTGACGTCAATGGGAGATTTGCACGGAAATCTGAGTTAAGGTTGCGGATCTCAAGTCAGAATACTGCCCTAAGGAAGCATTACAGAGGGGATGTTATGGGAAAGTTGATTTTTTATGATATAGGAATTGACAAGAATGTTGAACTTCCTGCCGAGGTACTCTTGAGAGGGATCTCATGTCCTTTTGGTTGATCTGGGTCTGGGATGGGAAGGGCATGATAATATGACGACCAACCACAATGTGTGTCAAGCACAATCTGGTAGCGATTCAGCAAGGACACATCTACTCATTTCTCAAAGACTTGAGGTTATTTAAATTCTTCCAGTTTTACTATGAAACGGTATCTTTACATCGACAAGTATTAAAACAAAGTGAAAGGTACTTTACACAACTTCATTTCATCAGTTTGACATCAGTGATTGGGGAATACACACCTAACAATGTGTGTATGTGGGAATATGTATGTGTTATAAAGGATATGTGAATAATAGGCATATTATTCTTATTGATGCAGACAGAGAAGGATAGAGGAACCTAGCAGTGTTGCAGTAAATTTGATGTGGAACTTGGATTTATATTGTACTGCAGGTGAGGGGTCGTTTTTGTTTTGTTTCTTCATGAGGTGGAGATGTGTTAAATATGTTATTGCATAGAAACGAACAGAAGAAGTCATGGAAATTATATTTCTACATACGTGTTACATATACCATTTCACCACCAAGGAAACACACATACGTAAGGTCAAGGGTCATAGTTCAGGTCTGCATCCCAAATGGCACCCTATTCCCTTTATAGTGCACTACTTTTGACCAGGGCCCATAAGGCTGTAGCCAAATTAGTTCACTATATAGGGAATAACGTGCTATGTATATTTATGTGCCTACATATACATGGGGTGGCAGGTAGCTTAGTGGTTAAGAGCGTTGTGCCAGTAACCGAAAGGTCGCTGGTTCTAATCCCCAAGCCAACTAGGTGAAAAATGTGAGGGATTTGAGCAAGGCACTTAACCCTAATTGCTCCTGTAAATCGCTCTGGATAACAGCGTCTGCTAAATGACTAAAATGTAAAAATGTAAATTAGATCAGGGACCGCGGCCCCACTTTTGTAGACCCGCGGATACATTTACAAAAAATGAAACATAAATAAATAATAATACATTAAAAAAATTGGAACTGAGTTGGGGTCTCAACTTACTGTCGAGAGTTAGAATAATAGAATACACAAGGTGCATTTTCGAAATGTGGTTGTGCATCAGAAGTTTTTGTCTTATGTCAGTCACTGACAGTCACTGAATTAGCCCATGTCAGCTTACATTTTTTAGATTGGTAAATTAGTCTATCCAGCTATCTAAACTTGTAGTAATCAAGGTCGAATTACGGACGGGGAGCCCCGATTTGATATTAACAAAATGTGTAGAATTACAGGAAATGTACTTAAAAACTGCAAACCTTTCTCTCCACCCTATGGCAAAATCTGTAGAATTGCTGGAAATTAGCTTTAAAACTGCAAATCTTTCTCTCCGCCCCACAGCAAAATGAGTAGAATTGCATGGAATTAGTTATATAATTGCTCAATTTTCTCTACTCCACATGGCAAAAAGTGTAGAATTGTATCAAACTTGTTTTAAAAGTGCAAAATGTTCTCGATGCTCCATTGCAAAATGTGTATAATTGCAAGAAATTAACAATAAAAAAATATATACAGTGCTATGAAAAAGTATTTGCCCTCTTTCTAATTTTCTCTACCTTTGCATATTTGTGATACTGAATGTTATCAGATCTTCAACCAAAACCTAATATTAGATAAAGGGAACATAAGTGAACAAATAACACAACAATTACATATTTATTTCATTTATTACATAAACAAAGTTATGCAACACCCAATTCCCCTGTGTGAAAAAGTAATTGCCCCCTTACACTCAATAACTGGTTGTGCCACCTTTAGCTGCAATGACTCCAACCAAATGCTTCCTGTAGTTATTGATCAGTCTCTCACGTCGCTGTGGAGGAATTTTGGCCCACTCTTCCATGCAGAACTGCTTTAACTCAGTGACGTGTGGGTTTTCAAGCATGAACTGCTCGTTTCAAGTCCTGCCACAACATCTAAATTGGGATTAGGTCTGGACTTTGACTAGGCCATTCCAAAACTTCCAATTTTTTTCATTTTTTTCTGTTTTTTATTTTTTATTGGGGGGGGGGGGGGGGGGGGGGGGTGGACGACGACTTCCAATTTGTTGCTTTTTAGCAATTTTCACGTAGACTTGATTGTGTGTTTTGGATCATTGTCTTGCTGCATGACCCAGCTGCGCTTCAGCTTCAGCTCACAGACGGATGGTCTGACATTCTCCTGTAGAATTCTCTGATACAGAGCAGAATTCATGGTTCCTTCTATTAAGGCAAGTCGTCCAGGTCCTGAGGCAGCAAAGCATCCCCAAACCATCACACCACCACCACCACCATGCTTAACCTTTGGTATGATGTTCTTACTGTGGAATGCAGAGTTTGGTTTTCGCCAGGAAATGTGTATTTGAAGTAAAGAAGGAGAATACACTTGGCATGGTATTTCCACACCCTCACATTATGCATCGCATGTTTCAAGAGGTCCTTTTTTCCTTTTTCCTGAACACAATATGCTGTTTATTATTATGACAAGTCTTGTCTATTTCAAGTTTATGCTGTTTCATCTTGTCCTGTCTTTTTACTGTTTTCCTCTGCACTTATTTCTGCTAGTGAATATATGTCTTGGAGACTCTGTTACTATAAACTGGGGCTGCGTCCCAAATTACACCCTATTCCCTATTTAGTGCACTACTTTTGACCAGGGCTCTGGTCAAATATAGTGCACAATACACTGAGTTTACAAAACATTCCAACTATTGAGTTACACCCCAGTTTGCCCTCAGAACAGCCTCAATTTGTCGGGGCATGGACTCTGCAAGGTGTCGAAAGCGTTCCACACGGATGCTGGCCCATATTGACTCCAATGTTTCCCACAGTTGTGTCAAGTTGGCTGGATATCCTTTGGGTGGTGGACCATTCTTGATACACAAATGGAAACTGGTGAGCGTGAAAAACCCAGCAGCGTTGCAGTTTTTAACACTCTCAAACCGGTGCGCCTGGCACCTACTAACATTCCCCGTTCAAAGGCACTTAAATATTTTGTGTTGTCCAGTCACCCTCTGAATGGCACACATACACAATCCATGTCTCAGTTGTCTCAAGGCTTAAAAATCGTTCTTTAACCTGTCTCCTCCCATTCATCTACACTGATTCAAGTGGCTTTAACAAGTGACATCAATAAGGGATCATAGCTTTCACCTGGTCAGTCTATGTCATGGAAAGAGCAGCTGTTCATAATGTTTTGTACACTCAGTGTATAGCGAATAGTGTGCCATTGAGGACGCAGCCCTCTGGACTTTTAAGACCAAGTAGATTTTTGTCTATGATAGAACTATTTTTGCAAAAACTGATGCTGTATTCTATAAATAAAGCTACTCTGTATTTTAATTCTGATTTGTTGCATTTTATTCGTTCGCTAAAATAGGGTATTGCTTTAGTCACTTATTCAGAGCCACTTACACTATTGAGTGGATACATTTCTGTACTTTTTCCCATACTGGTCCCCCATGGGAATCAAACCCACAACCCTGCAAGCGCCATGCTCTACCAACTGAGCCACACGGGACCCCTTATGTCTGTATGTATCACCCTCTGCCCTCTCTCTACCCTCACCCTCAGAGGAAGTTATGGGTCCAGTAATAGGTCAAGCTGATGGGAAGGTAATTCATGGTATCATGTATTGGAAAAACAGGACACATTTGTGAGAATATTCCAATATTAGTCTGCTTTTGCATTACGTGATAATAGTAATTTGAAGTATTACTACTCTGCTGCTGGTGATGCTGCCTCCCTGATTTCTCCCTCTACTCACCTACCTTATCCTGTGGTGTCTGTCTGCTGTGGTGTCAGTCTGCTGTGGTGTCAGTCTCCTGTGGTGTCTGTCTGCTGTGGTGTCAGTCTGCTGTGGTGTCAGTCTCCTGTGGTGTCAGTCTCCTGTGGTGTCAGTCTCCTGTTGTGTCTGTCTCCTGTGGTGTCAGTCTCCTGTGGTGTCAGTCTCCTGTGGTGTCTGTATCCTGTGGTGTCAGTCTCCTGTCGTGTCTGTCTCCTGTGGTGTCAGTCTCCTGTGGTGTCAGTCTCCTGTGGTGTTTGTCTCATGTGGTGTCTGTCTCATGTGGTGTCTGTCTCATGTGGTGTCTGTCTCATGTGGTGTCAGTCTTCTGTGGTGTCAGTCTCCTGTGGTGTCATGCTGCTGTGGTGTCAGTCTCCTGTGGTGTCAGTCTCCTGTGGTGTCAGTCTCCTGTGGTGTCAGGCTGCTGTGGTGTCAGTCTGCTGTCATGTCAGTCTGCTGTCATGTCAGTCTGCTGTGGTGTCAGTCTGCTGTGGTGTCAGTCTGCTGTGGTGTCAGTCTCCTGTGGTGTCAGTCTGCTGTGTACTAGGAGCAGTAATAGGAGAGGAGATGAGAATAAAGGTTCAGGTGGTTTTCAACTACTCCAAAGATGTGAAATAATGTACTTCCCAGTTTCTATTCCATCCGGCTGTGGATGTGCGGTTGATTTCAGCTTCGGTCATAGCCTCTATAATCTGTTAAATGACACACGGCAACACAGTCAGCACCACACCTTCTATCACTGAGGCTGCAACCAAGATGGAACCCTGTTACCTATACAGAGGCCCTATGGGCCCTGGTCAAAGGGAGCGCACTCTAAAGGGAATAGGGTGCCATTTTGGACGCAGGCTGAGCATGTAGGAAGTGGTTCAAGCTGTGCTCCAACATCTCTCTCCTCTCT